GAGTGTTGAGGGACTGTCCTGCAACAATGTTATATGTGGTTGGATTTCTGGACTTATGTGTAAACATATGTAATTCTTTTTTCCTATTTTTTAAATATATTTTAATTTTAAATTTTTTTGTCATATTCTGTAGGGACTTAAAGTTTGACATATTAATACTTTATGAAAAATACCTGTTCCATGTTATGCCTAAAATGTTTGATATTCAGATAGTGAGGTTAAGCTCAACAACCTAGGTTGTATGGTAATAACAATAAGCTTCTCTTCTGGAGGATTAACAACTTTTGTTTGCAGATCAAAAATTAGAGAAAAAGGAGGTCTGCAAGGAAAGCCAATATTTTGGCCCTAGCCTTCTAAGGTCAATTAAGACTCAGGACATAGGAGAACCTGTACTATAACATCATGTAACTTAGTTGTGTCCCAAATTTTTTGATCAAGAAGATTATGGGGCCAAAGAGGAAAATGATCAATGATGTAGAATGTGCCTAAGGAGAGTCACATGGAGAGAAAATATTCTCTCAGGATTTCACAGAGAGCACATTGGCCAAGTAATGGCCATGACTCATCCACATGGCTGACACTGAGAAAGGATCTACAAACTGAGGTACAGGATCTCAGGATAAATCCTGAGGGGATTTCACTGACCTTATCAGACCCAAAAGCTGCAATTCTTGTTACATAGGTCTTGCTTTATCTTGATCTTAACCATCTAGCATAAAAGTATAAAAATGAAGTATAAGAAATAAAGCCATGTTGTTACGCTGAGCTGTAGAGAACTCAGGTCAACAACTTTTGACATTGCCAGTCAAGCTGAAGACCCAAAACTATTATGGACTATTGGACTATTTTGGAATATTTTGCTGAGTTCACACACCTATAATATTTAAATGATGGAACTAAACAAAAAATGGAGATACAGATGAATGACCTTTTTTATGTGTGTATTCAAAATGATTAGGATAGATGTATAGCTACATTCTCTTAATTCACGGAATAGAGGGATCTGTTCTGATAGTATTTGTAAATAGGATATCATGTCTGCATCTTGCACAACAAATAACCACTAGGAAGACATTATGCAATGTGTTATTTATTGAAACTGTCCTACCAATTTGATTTGAAATTCTCTCATTGCTATTTGTTTCTCAATAAAATTATGGACAAAAAAACAAAGAGGGTGGTAGAAAGCACAGCAAAACAGGGAACAAGGTCTGGAGCCCAGCAATTTCAGAGAAGGCTTTTGAGGTCTGCACAGTTCTATGGAATACCCATCTCTGACAAAACTAAATGAAAAAGGGGGACATAAATGAGGGACCAATTTGTACCTATATATACAAAATAGTTAGGTTAGATATACAGCTACTTTCTTTTGGTTCAGTGAGAAGTAAGATTTGTACTAATAGTGTGTGGACAGGATATCATGTCTGCATCTTGTACCATGAATAACTACTGCGAAGACAGCGATGTGCAATGTATTGATTGTTGTAACTGTCCTACTATCCTGTTTTGAAATTGTCTCATGCTATTTGTTTCTCAATAAAATTAATAAAAAAGAAAAAAGAAAAAACAACCAAGCCTTCAATTGAGAAAAAAAAGGAACTCACTTCAGTGATAGTCACAAATTGGAACAAGATACTGTAAGATAAAAAATATTGAATAGAATAACAAAAACAAAGAAAAACACCAATCAGAAAAAAATCCTGCTAGGGAGCAAATGAAGCCTGTAATCAAATACATCACCATAATTTTAATCAAACTAATGAAATGAACACATCTTAAAGAAACAATATACTAGAGTTATAAAATTCAGAGAAGATATAGATCAATGGAACAGAGTCAAGAGTCCAGAAGTAAATGCTGAAATTTATGGATAATTGATTTTCAACTGGGGTACCACAATTTAATAGGTAGAAAATAATAATTTTAAGAAATGGTGCCAGGACAATTGGATATCTACATGGGAAGAAAGACCAGAAGAAAATTAGATTCTTCATACTGTACAGAAAAGTTAACTATATCATAGACATAAATATAATAACCAAGACTATTAAACTCTTGGAAAAATACAGAAGTAGCCATTTGCAACATTAGACTGAAAGCCTACTTAGACATTCCATCGGAAGCATGAGTAAAGCTAGGTGTAATGGCACATGCCTGTAAGTCTAGCTATGAAGGAGGCTGAAGCAGGAGGATCACAAGTTTGAGGCCAGTTTGGGGAGCTTAGTGAGACTGTCTCAAAATAGAAAGGCCTGGGATTGTAGCATCACTGGTAGAGCACTGCCTAGCACTGCAAGGCCCGCAGAAAAGTACAAGGAACCCACATAGGAATTGTACCTCATCTATGAGTTCATGGGTTAATTCAACACAACCCAGGAAAGAACTATTGAAGTGAAAATACATCAATAGAATTTAACCAAACAGAACAATAAGGCAACACAGTGAGGAAACAGGCAAACCAACCAGAACAGCACACCCAAGAACTGTGTGGCAATATCAAGCAGCTTATGGTAGGTGCATTTGTAATCCAGAAGGAAAAGAGACAGAAAGGATCACAGAAAATATCTGAAGAGGCAGATAACAAATAGTTGTCAGATTAATGAGACCCCAAATTACATATTGAAGAAGCCTAGAGAACACCAAAGTAAACACACACACAGAGTACTCTAGCTGGGACATATCATATTCAAGTTGCTGAAAACCAAAATAGTGAGAAAAGCTTCAAAGTACCCAGAAGGATGTACTGATGCATGATTCAGTGTGAATGAAATTGGAAAATATTATGCAAAGTGTGATGAGTCAGACACAAAAGAATTAGTATTGGGGCTGGAGAGATGGCTCAGTGGTCTAAAGCACCTACTTAGAACAAGCTTGGCAAAGCATTGGGGACCGCGGTTCAATCCCCAGCACCACATGCCAGCCAGCCCGCCCCCTGGTGGGCTGAGCTGGCCACACACCTCTCTCTCTCTCTCTCTCTCTCTCTCTCTCTCTCTCTCTCTCTCTCTCTCTCTCTCAAATAAATAAAAAAAAAATTTAAAATAAAAAAAAAAGAATTAGTATTGTACGACTCCATTTAAAATATCTAGAATTTATAAATTTGTAGAGACAGAAATGAGATCACTGATTGCCAGGGCCTGGGGAAGGAGAGACTGGGATGTGATTTCTTCAGGACTTGGGTGATACAACATTCTGGAGTTAAATACTAGTGTAAGTTACGTAAAGTGGGGAATGACTGGGAAGTTATTTAATTGTGTACTGTTAGGGGAAAACAACAGTTTTCTGTTATGCAAATTTTACTTCAATGAAACAAATGAGGGCTGGGAAGATAGTTCAGTTGAATAAGCACTTGCCTGGCAAGTGCAAGGGCCTGAGTTCAATCCCTGGTTCTGAAAAAAAAAAAGAAAGAAAGAAAAGGAAAGAAAATGACCAGACTTCACTAAATGAACTCAAGAATTATTCTCTAGGATCTGTTTTTGAGTTTTGTAATTAATAACATTACATTAAAAGTTTTCACTTAAGGCATATGAAACAATTTTAATTTGTCTTTAGGATTTAAGAATCTTTAAAGTTTCTCAAAATATTTATATCTTTTCTTTTTTTTTGCGGTACCAGGGATCAAACTCGAAGCCTTGCACTTGCCAGGCAGGCACTTATGCCGCTGAGCTATCTCCCCAACCCTTAAAATATTTGTATCTTTATCATATCTGCATCTTATACAATGAGTAACCACTAAGACAACAATATGCAATGTATTACTATAAATATGCCAGTAATCAGTTTTGAAACTGTCTCATTGATACTTGTTTCTCAATAAAATTGTTTAAAAAATTTATATCTTTAATGTTTTTCTCTGCCTCCCCATACACACATACACATAGACATGCATTTTTCTTTGATTTAGAGAGTTACAACCATATTATATTACTTTGTATTATCCTACACCCAATTGTAAATATTTCCAAAGTCATTAGATATTCTTCCACTTCATCATTTTAATGGCTGCCTAGCAGCCCATAATATGATGAGGTTCACTTAACTAAATCCCCTACTATTGGACATTTTTTTTCTGCCAATTTTTATGTACACCTTTCTAAATAAGGCTGCCACTTAACCTTTATCCATAGCATTCTACACATACCTCACTCCAACTTAGTTGGGACAGGTAACACACGTGTGAACTCAAGTGTGAACAAGGAGTTATCAGGGTTCTGCCAGCTTCTTCCTTCACACTCAAAAACACACATCAAGGATAAGCTTCCTGGTATGAAGGCAAGCATGTGCTTACGTATGATGAACCCAGTTTTTATTCCCCAGAAATTTCCCATGAGGATTTATCTTCAGAAAAGGACAATTGGGGGCCGGGGAGATGGCTCAGTGGAATAAGTGCTTCCCTGGCAAGTGCAAGGGCCTGACTTCAATCCCTGGTTCCGCAAAAGAAAAAAAGGATAATAACTATGATTTGCAGGTGGTTTTATGCGCCTCCTGCAGATGAAGGGAGTGAGAGGGAGCAAGAAGTACAGCATGGGCTAGTATTTGTTCCTAAGCAGTGTGAGTGCAGCATGGTCTGGGCTGGATCTAAGCATAGTGGACTCAAAAGCCTTAACAGTGGTTAGGTGGGAGAAGGCGGATGACGTGCTGAGCATCACATTTGTTCTGACGGCTGCAAGTTGGTTGCGGGTTTGTGTGTCAAGGAAGATTACTATGCACCTTCCAGAGGCTTCCAGGTGGTATTTAGCTAGCAACACAAATGGCTCACAAGGCACACAGGAACATATTTGGCTCCCAAATGTTCATTGCATGGACAAATATATGTTCATTACTGTGATTTAGCAAACAAACTTCTAAAATTTGGCCTTTAGCAAAAAAGAGATACCTTTTTACAACAAAGATTTTTAAGTTAACTATGTGTTGGTGAATTATTTGGCATCTGACTAAATGTGAGCACATAAACGGCTAGTGAGGCAAGCACAGTTGTCAGTGAAAAGATCATATAAATAACTAACCTGGGTTTTCCATCGACATGAAGACAGTTTCCCCCGAGAATGGAAAGAGGGTAAGTGTGTCTTCGTAGACCATTTTGTGTTTGAAGGTATATCCAGAGAAGAAGACAGACAAGAAGTCAGTCTGGGCTCCAACACTTAGAATATACCAGTATGCCACCTCATGCAAACAAACAGACAACTGCAAACTATCAAACACATAACCATTGATGCCTGCAAAGCAATGGAAAATAAAAAACTTAATAGTATCCTGGAATTATCATTTCAGATTATGATTGATGTGACATAACTAGAAATTATTATACATTATGCTCATTACCTCTCAAGGAGGGACAGCATTAAACCTTCTAAAACGTAGAATGTTAATACTTTGTCAGGTGGGCCTTAATCCCTAAATAAGGAGAAAGTCACAGACTACAGTGGCAAAGGTGGATTTAAATGCTATATTTTTTTTATTTTAACATTTATTGTATGTGTGTGTGTGTGTTGTGTGTGTGTGTGTGTGTGTGTGTGTGTGTGTGGCCAGCTCAGCCCACCAGGGGGCGCGGCTGGCTGGCATGTGGTGCTGGAGGATTGAACCGTGGTCCCTGTGCTTTGCCAAGCTTGTTCCAAGTAGGTGCTTTAGACCACTGAGCCATCTCTCCAGCCCTTAAATGCTATATTATATGGAGGATTATTTGAAGAGGAGGAAGGTATTTGTATGATCCCAAAGTATTTCTCTACAAAATGTTTATTAGTTACAAGGGAAAAACTGTAAGGTACAGAAAAAATGAAACTTTAGCCCAGACGATCAAGTTTCCATCCTGAGCAGCAATGTATAAGAGTTATGACTCTATATGTTTACTAACACTGAATAGGATCAGTCTTCGTCCCCCTGACATCCTGGGGATTGAATCAGGATTTAATGCATGTTAGTACTGACAGACACCAACCGAGACCCTACACTAGTCTTTTTAATTGTATCTCTTCTGGAATATGACTCTGAAGAACAAAAGATCATTATTACAAAAATTGAAGCTAAATATAAGGCTTAACTTGAAGCTAAAATTTAGACAAGGAGCATAGAATCATAATAGAAGCTACATTCTGGCAGGTAAGTATGACCCAATTATAATTTTTCCAACACTGTATCTATTCATTTGTTCAGATTTTTATTTATTTATTTTTATTAATTTTATTGAGAAACAAATAGCAATGAGACAGCTTCAAAACAGATTAGTAAAAATGAAGTATAAGAAGTAAAGCCATGGTGTTATGTTGAGCTGTAGGGGACTCAGGTCAACAATTTCTGACACTGCCAATGAAGCGGGAGACCCAATTCTATTATGGGCTACTGGACTCTTTTAGAATATTTTGCTGAGTTGACATACCTACAACATTCAAATAACGGAACTAAACAAAAAAGGGGATACAGATGAATGTCCATTTTGTATCTGTGTATTCAAAATGGTTAGGATAGATATATAGTTACATTCTCTTAATGAATAGAGGGATCTGTTCTAATGGTGTTTGTAAATAGGATATCATGTCCGCATCTTGTACAGCAATTAACCACTTGAAGAATGTATGCAATGTGTTAATTATTGAAACTGTCCTACCAATTTGGTTTGAAACTGTCTCATTGCTATTTATTTCTCAATAAAATTATGGGAAAAAACAAAACCAAACCGATTAGTAGGACAGTTTCAATAATTAATACATTGCATATTGTTGTCTTCATAGTGGTTATTCATAGTACAAGATGCAGACATGATATTCTGTCCAAACACTATGGTACAAATCTTTCTTCTCATTGAATGAAGAGAAAGTAGCTGTATATCTATCCTAACTATTTTGTATATACAGATACAAAATGGTCCTTCATTTGTATCCTCATTTTTTTGGTTTAGTTTTGTCAGAGATGGGTATTTCACTGCCACTTAAATATTGTAGGTTTGTGGATTTAGCAAAATAATCCAATATAGTCCAGTAGTCCATAATAGTAGTGGGTTACCCATAGGACTGGCAATGTCAGAAGTTGTTGACTTGAGCCTTTTACAGCTCAGCATATCGATATGGTTTTACTTTTTGTACCTCGTTTTTATGCTTTTCTGCTGGATGGTTAAGATCAAGATAAAGCAAGACCTATATAACGAGCAATGTATCTTTTGTATCTGACAAGGTGAGTCAAATCCCCTCAGGATTTCCTCTGAAACCCTGTACCATAGTTTGTAGATCTTTTGTCAGTGTCAGCCATGTGGATGAGTCATAGCCATTGCTTGACCAATTTGCTCTCTGTGAAAGCCTGAGAGAATATTTTGTCTTTATCTGACTCTCCTTAGGCACACTCTACATTGTTGATCACTTTCCTTTTTAGCTCCATAATCTCCTTGATCAGAAAATTTGGGATACCACTGAGTTACATGATGTTACAGTACAGGTTCTCTTATGTCCTGAGTCCTCACTGACCTTGAAAGGCTAGGGCCAAAATGTTGGCTATCCTTGCAGCCCTTTTTCTCTAATTTTTGGTCTGCAAACTTAAGTTGTTAACCCTCCAGAAGAGAAGCTTAATAATATTATTTCCCTATAACATAGGCAGTTGAGCTTAACCTCACTATCTGTCTGAATATCAAACATCTTAGATGTAACATGGAACATGTATTTTCCATCAAGTATTGATTCTCACCCTGACTAACTATATATGCTGATACTTGTAAACTAGGCAACTGCAATGAAGATAGCAATGTGTAATACTAGGGTCATGCTTGGAATGCCTGTCATTCTGGTCTTTTAAATATGTAGTGCTTGTAATGTCATATCAATTACTGATATACTGTTTCTCAAGTAAATGTTTGTTTTTAAAAAAAAGGTAATAAATGAAAACAAGAGACAAGAAGAAAATATCTAGCACTGTCCTGCTACAATGCTGTATATGGTTAAATTTCTAAATTTCTGTGTAAAATATGTAATTGTTCATTCCTATTTTTTAATTTTTAATTTTTTTCTTCACATTCTGTAGGGATTTAAAGTTTATCATTTGTCCAGATTTTTAGTTGCATTTGGTGAAATAGAGAAGGGTGGCATGTGCTTATTCCATTTTAACCATAATTATAACTTCAAAAGACATTTATTTTAATATTTTAATGGATTCACTCCAAGATGTTTAAATAAAAGATTATATGAGTTATCCATTAACATTGTATGAAAATACCCTTTTACCTAGAAGCCGACTAATAAGGATATCATTAAATGTTGCCATTGCGACAGATATGAAGTGTTATATCATTGGTATTGTTGTAGTGAAATTTCAGTGTTCTATGATGCTTTTGACAGATTGTGTATGTATACACAATCCACATACATGTGTTTGTGATTGCTGGATTGTGCCCACTTCTGATTCACATGCTGACGTCCTAACTCTTGGTTCTTCAGAAAGTTACCATGTGTGTAGATGGGTTGTTAAGTAGGCAATTAGTTGATATAAAGTCACTACACTGGGCCATAATCACCTTATAAGAGATTAGAAGGTGGAACGATACAGAGGGTTGACCATGTAAGGGTGCAGGAAGAAGATGACATCTCTATGACAAAAAGAAAGGCCAAGGAAGAAAACAACCCTGCTGACTACTTCATCTGAGGCTTTTCACCTCCAGAATTGCGAGGCAACAAAACCTCTGCAATCCTTTTTTATGGCAAACCTAAATAGCCAATAGAATGTATATATTACATGATCATGCAATCACAGAAAAAGTGTTTTAAAATGAGAATGGTTAGTGAAATAGTGTAATGCACAAGATAAAATGAAAATGAAAGAGAAGATGCAGTCAGGTAAACACTGGAATAAAACATTGTGACTGGATTTATAAAATACGCATTATATGGTCATATTTCTGCATTCATATATTTATAGGCAACAACCATTGAAAAATATGACTCATGTGGCATTTAAATTAAGTCATTGTGAGGGCATCAGTTTGGAAGCATCAATTTCCCTTTATCCAACATCCACTGGATGATGCTTTACTCACTGTACATTATGTTCGAGGCTTGGAACTCTGCATCCTGGGCCTGTACTCCAGAGGCATTCGGGAGGAAGCGCTGCATATTTTCTGTGAGGTACCAGCTTCGGTTCTCATCAAATATAGAAAACAGGATGACATTTCTCTTGTCTGACATCATCTGTTGATTTTAGGTAGGGAAAGAAAGGCTACTAGTCAGGCATGATGGTGCACACCATATCAGCATTGTATGAGGATGAAGCAGGCAGATCACAGGCTTGCTGCCAGCCTGAGCTACACAGGGAGACCTTGTCTCAAAATAAAAGATTAGGGATGTAGCTCAGAGTGAAGGCCCGAGATTCAATACCCTGTACTAAAAGAAAAACCTACTGATCCCATCAGATAGGAACTAGCAATATTTGCCTAAATTTCATTTTCTCTTGGGGTCACTGTTATAGCATGAGCAAGAGCCTAGGAATGGGGGTGGGTGTTACAAGCAAAATGTACATGTTCAGAACTAAGGGAGTGTCCTCAAAGCAAGAAGGGGAGTGCACGCACTACATTTACTTCTTTCTGAGCCCAAGACCACATGCACATTGAATTTTGATACAGTCAACAGCTTCAATCTCTCCATGTTCAGATTAGAGAATTTTTAATTCTTTAAAAATCTAAATTACTTACGTCAAACACAGCACTGATCCTAAACTCCAATCATCTATCAATTGCATTTCTACAAAGCTACCACTATAAAAAATTAATTGATTAGTTTAGCTTTAGTTTTTAAAACACCAGAAGTGATCCAAATTGGAAGCATACTGTGAGATATTTTCTTTTCTTTTTTTTTTCAGAACCAGGGATTGAACTTAGGCCCTTGCACTTGCCAGGGAAGTGCTTATTCCACTGAGCCATCTCCCCGGCCCTATTTTCTTTTCCTGTATTTTGCTCAATAAACTTTTTGGCCTTCTACTAAATGCCACGAATTATGTAAGATACTGTGGATATTAATTTTAAGGTGCTTCTGAATCATATATACTGAAAATGTTCAGAGAAGTCTAGGCTTTTGTAGGCCATCTAAAGACAAATGATAACTGGACATGTAATACTGGGAAAAATCATCCGGAGAACTAAGTCTCAGACTGGAAATGCCTATTATAGAAATAAGCTACGTTCCCAGCCTTTCCATCCATCCAGCAGGCAAGTTAATTACATCACACTGAGATTCAGTAAAAGCTAAGTGGAGTCCAATTTCTTTCTTTTATTTTTTATTGTACACTATATTGCAGGCTGCTATATTTTCTGGAGGCCATTAGGGAGCATACATTAAGATGGTATAAAAAATATTTGGGAGTTCATATGCATCTCTTTCCATTTCTAGCTTCAAACTCAGAATTTAGGAAAGGGTGAACTCACCTGGTTTCCTCTTTGATCTACAGATTCTTTGTAACAGATGAGTAGAGGGCCAATAAGTCCTGAAGCTAGGTCTCGCTCCAGATTAAGGAAACTGGAGTAATATCTGGTTAAGCACCGAGGGTCTGATTTAGTTGGCCCATCTTCTACAGTCACTGTCCATTTATACTTGAATATTTCTCCTGGCAGAATTGGCAAGTCCTTCAAATGTTTTACACCTACCCATACCCAAACCCAGAAACAGCTCATTTAGAGTGTATCAAGCCACATGAGTCACAATAAATTTGGCCTAAAGTTGGTATCATACATGTTTTAAATTTGGCTTAAAGGTCTCCTTGTACACAGTAAATTATGACTTAATTTGGTATGTAAGTAGATTGTAATCTGACTTTGAAGTATAGTCTTGTATAACAATATAGGTACAAGTATCCGGATCTTAATGTATCACAGCAGCTTAACCTCCAGCCCATTAGAGGCTAAAAGCTGTCAAAACATGACAATATATATCAAATGCTGCCCAATTTATGAATAATTCGTTGGTCAAGTAAACTCAGCTTCAAATTCAACTTGTCTCATGTTTTTCTTTTTCTTTTTTTTTTTTTTTAATTTTTTTTTATTTATTTGAGAGAGAGAGAGAGAGAGAGAGAGAGAGAGAGAGAGAGAGAGAGAGAGGGGTGTGTGGCCAGCTCAGCCCACCAGGGGGCGAGGCTGGCTGGCATGTGGTGCTGGGGGATTGAACCGCGGTCCCCGATGCCTTGCCAAGCTTGTTCTAAGTAGGTGCTTTAGACCACTGAGCCATCTCTCCAGCCCCTCATGTTTTTCTTTAAACAATAGACACGATGTTTTGCCAAAGGTTCTATAAATCTATGTATATATAGGAAGTTTCTCAGTAAACTGAAATTGATATGTCATTTATTCATCACACAATTTTAATGGTAAAAATTGACCATAATGGCTAACATCAAAAAGTCAGCCAATAACAAATGCTGGAGAGGCTGTGGTTAAAAAGGAACCCTTCTGCACTGTTGGTGGGTGTGCAGACTGGTACAACCACTATGGAAATCAGTGTGGAAATTCCTTCAAAAGCTAGGGTTGGAGGTCCCATTCAAGCCAGCTATTCCCCTCCTGAGTATTTTTCCAGAAGAACTTACAACCTTATACCACAGTGATATGTGTGCATCTGTTTTTAGCAGCACAATTTATCACAGCTAAATCCTGTAAACAACACAGATGCCGATCAACTGAAGAATGGGTAAATAAGATGTATTTTTATACAATGAAGCATTATTCAGCTATAAAACAGGATAAACTTGAGTCTTTTGTCAGTAAATGGATGCAATTAGAGAACATACTCAAGTAAAATAAATCAGACCCACACGTGCAAACATCGTATTATCTTCTTAGTATGAGAACCTGAAAGAGAAAAAATGGAACCTGAAGGGCACAGTAGATACTAGGCAAAGGGAATGAACTTATTCAAAAGGAGAGAGTTACTGAGTTGAGGAGAAGGACAGGAGAGGGAGTGGAGGAAAGAGACTTATCTAGGTGTGTATGTATGCAGGATGGTTCGCACAACTGTACTGTGCATTTCTGCTGGCCTATGGAAAGGAGCCAGATAATAATTTGTTTTGTCTCCTTTCTTCAATTGTTTGTACTTTTTCTCTTCTTAAATTCTTATACATTTCTTTCTTCTTCCAATTTTACATGCATATATCTAGTAATATGAGTAACTGGTTGAAAGACAACACCATGTATTACAACAAATACTGTGAAATTCATATTACTTTGTTAAGCGAAATTCTGTATCACTTGTATTTTCTTGTTTTAATTCTAACTTGTAATCTCTTTAAAAAATAAAAAACAAAAATGGATCTTAGCAAATCTAATCTCCTCCCATATTAGTTTGAGTTGAAATAAGCAGGTCTGTTTCCTATCAAAAATAAATTTAAAAAATACTTTAAAATAGTTTAATATATAGCTAAGGGGCTGGGAGATGGCTCAGTAGGATAAGCGCTTGACTGGCAAATGCAAGGTAGCTAAAATATATAGCTAAAATATGCATACAAGGAAGGAAAAAGTATGGAAAAAGTAAACTAGCTAAGCATCTGTGATAATACTAAAATTAGAGAAACAAAATTCAAGTTAAAGAGAATAAAAGAAAACCAAGAATATTTTTAATGTTAAAAGTGTGATCCACAAGAAAATGTCATGAATCTTTAATCAACAAACACTATAGTAAATAAAAACTGAAATTGTGAATTATTCAGAAACTAAAAGTACAGAGGTTACTAGGTATTGAAATTGCAAAATGTAGCCAAAACCTATACTCAGAGAAAAAAAATCTGACTTTTGTGGTAAAACAATCAACTTCAAGAGTTTAGAGAACATATACTTGGAGTGCAGAGGTGCCAATCTGTTAGGCTGCCCAGTACTGAAGCCTCACCCAGGGGTAAGAGCAAAAACAGACCAAGGGACTCTTTAATAACTTATGTGAGACACCACCTAGGGATTCCTTGATCTGGTGTAACTTTAGACCGGGGCTTAAGGTTCTGTGCCAACACACCAGGCCAAGGAGAAGTAGAATTGTAGTTGTTATTAATGTTATGATTTCATCTGTATCTGCAGGCAAGGAGACTGTACATCTACAGTAAGATGTACCAACAATCACACAGCCTTACTCAATCTCTAAATACCCTTCCAGCCATCTTCATACCTCTTCCTGCCTATACAACTACTCTCTCAAATCCCTTCAACACTAGTGCTTTACTCCAGCTACAAAAATAATTCCAACAAAGTTTAACTTCTTGTCTAATCTTGACATGTTGTCACTTCTCTTACCTCCCTCTCTTCCCACTGACATAGTCCCTTTGTCCCCTTCACCTTGTTTCCCCTACATTTCATGTTCCAGATGAACTGCAAATAGCAGTATAATACAGTCTGTAAGGGTATGGAGAAAAGGGTGTAACTATCAAAACAAGTTTTAATGATCATGATTGATATATGGATGGATCTGTTGACACTGCTATAACTAGTAAAAATCCTCTCCTTAAAACACATTAACAGGGGCTGGCAAGATAGCTCAGTGGTCTAAAGCACCTGGTTAGGCAAGCTTAGGCAAAGCGCAGGGACCACGGTTCAATCCCCAGCACCACATGCTGGCCAGTCCCACTCCCAGGGTGGGCTGAGCTGGCCACAAAAAAAGAGAAAGAAAACACATTAATAGAGTCCAACTTAATTAAATTGGATAAGGTGAAGTGGTAAACAATACCTCTTGATAAAACTAAGAACACATCACTGGAAAACAGAAGCTAACTAAAGATAGCCTCACAGAAACACCAAATTCTCCTCACGCTATGTGACAATTCTGCAAAAGCATACCCCAGGGCTTGTGCCACTATTCCCGGACTCTGGTCAGCTCAGCCTACCCTAGGGGCAGGCTGGCAGGGTATGTGGTGCCAGGGATTGGGATTGGCGATCGAACCAGGGTCCCTACATTCACCTAAACTTGCATATGCAGATGCTTTAGTCTGAGCTATCTCACTGGTCCTCTTTTTTTGTTTTTTTTTTGAGACAGGGTCTCACGATGCAGTTCAGGTTGACGTTGAGTTCACTTTGAGACTAGGCTGGTCTCAAACTTGCAAGGATCCTCCTGCCTCAGCCTGCTAAGTGCTGGGATTACAGGCATGAGTCACCACACCTGGCTCTCTCTTCTTTCTTTTGTTCCTTTCTTCTTCACCATCTTATTGGGGCTTGGTCTTTATTTTCTTTGTCTTTATTCCTTGCTTTTATCTTTTGTTTTTATTTCTTGTTCTTTTTTCTTTATATTTCTCCTTTTCCCTCTAATTATTTCTCTTATTTTTACCCTATATAATTTCTTTCATTTTTCTCCCTCTTTCTCTCTTATCTTTTATTTCTTGCCAATTTTTTTCTCTTACCTTTGCCTAAGTTTATTAATATCCTTCTACTCCCCAGCAAGATACTTTGGGCCACTTCTCTCTCCTCATTCTCATACCATAGAGTTTAAGGTTTAAAAATTTTCCTCCTGCATTCTCCCAGCCTCCAAACCTACATCTTCAATAGTATAACCATAACCATAAAGCTTTATTAATGTTTTGATCATTAAACTCTAAAAAATTATTGTTGGATTCTTTTCTACCATGAGCAGAGATATAGCTGTTGCATTTAGTGCATATTAGTTGTACACCACTAACTGGTTTGTCTTAAAGTTTACACCATAATTGCTGGTTTTGTCTCTAGGATTAATAATAATGCATAACTGGCTCATATGGTATGTTAATGTCCAGTTTCTTGTGGATGATACTACTGTAGCTGATTTACTTGTTATTAACAGGGGTGTGGGGGACAACTCCCTCTGCCCCCCTCCTGTCCCTCTCTCAGACAAGAGCTTTCTTTCCCTCAATAAATATATTCTGCTCATAAAAAGCAGTGTGTAACTGTTGCTATATCCCTCTAAGCCGACATTCAGATTACATCTGTGACATTACTAATGCTAGAGTACATTCTCAAAGAACTTGGTTGCTAGGGAGACTGCACTGCATCCTGCTCTTCCAGCTTAGCCAAGGTGGTCAGATCTTGGGGAGGTAGCAGAGGATTACAGCCCAAAGTACATCACTGAAAAGCAATTAAGGAGAACTCCATACCAGCAACAAAGCCGCTAGACTATTTGCAGACACAAACAGCACAAAATGCAAGAAAGCAAGCAAGCAAACAAATAAACCAATAGAGACATTAGAAGCTAAGGCAACAAAATGCCCCCCAAAATTCCCAACTCCCCTGAAATCAATCCAGGAGGCACACAAGGACAGAATAGTATGAGTCACCTGCCTGAAGTAATGAAAAGGATAACAGAAGATATTAGAAAACAGCTCAAAGAGAAACTCAGTATAATTAGAGAAAACTTACTTGATAAGATAGTGGACGTAATAGCCAAAAAGATGCAGGAGCTTTTAGAAGACACTAATAAAACCCAGGACTGGGGAGACAGCTCAGTGGCATAAGCACCTGATTGGCATATATAAGGTCCCAAGTTCAATGCCCACTACTGTTAAAATAAACTAATAAAAACCCAGATGAGCTGAATGAAATGATACAAATATGAATAGTCAGTTTATCAAAGACTTAAGAGTCCATGAAAAGGTTTCAATCAGAAATCCAGAAGATTAAAAATCATATCAAAAGTATAAACAGCAGAGCTAAC